TCCCACACGGCACCCTCGCGCCGGCTCGCTGGGCAGGCGCCAGCCTTACAGAGCTGCCAGCTGTCCTGGGGGGCTTACGCCAGCCATACAGTGCCACCCGGGGCCAGCGCTTTTGTCCCCAGCTGGCGCGGGGGCAGGCAGAGCCCACAGCTGAGGGCCGAGCGCCCAAGCAAACATCAATCTCCCTCTGTCCTCCTGGCCAAGTTTCACAGACCAGCTCTGTTGGTACCTCGCAGCCCCGTCGCCTGCCCGGCCCCATCAGGGTCTTCTGCAGCAGGGAGGAGAGAAAGCGAGGTGCACCCACGCTGGTTTGGTACTTGGGTTGTTCTTCACATGGGATAAACCAAATCCCCCCGAGGTCTTGCTCCTGCCCCCACCCCAAACCCAGAGAGGATGCAGCTAATGGCAGAGCCGGGAGCTGCTTCACTCGAGAGCAGTGCCCTAGTTTCTTCACTCCCTGCTCTCCTTTCTCTCTCTTGTCAAATGTCAGGTCTGGGCACACAGCATCTGTTTGGAGACAAACGCTGCGGTCAGCCCTCAGCCACACAGCTCCGGGAACCGGCACGTCCTGGAAGAATGAAAATGGTGATAACCCAACACACTCTTCCTAGGCTAAACCCCCAGGTCCCACGCGCTGGACGCATCAGGGGGGCTGTGTCTCGCTGCTGGCACTGCTCTAGCAAAAGCTGCCCCACGGCCCCGCAAAGCCTTGTGGTTCGGGTGTCCCTGGGAGCAGTTTCAGGGTCAGGAGCAGTACTCAGCCCCTACCCTTGGTCCTCCCAGCAGCCCAGTTTGGACTGGGAGCCGCTGGGACACCCACACAGCTGCAGGGCTGTCACTGCCCTCCAGCACACAGCTCCAGCGGGTCCCTCACACCTTGGGGACAGCAGCAGAACCCAGGCTGGGGCTGCTAAGCCCCATGCCCTCCTGCAGATTGCAGCGTGGCCAGGGCCCAGCTCTGGGACGTGGCTCCATCCCCCAGCAAAGCCCACGGCCTTCCGATGGAGTAGGTTTTCCATTCCCCTCCGAAACTGTGCATTGGGGGATGCATCCCAGCCACCACAGGAAGCAGCAGTGGGCACAGGACCAACAGCCATAGCCAAGTTAATTGCTGGTTTAAATGGAAGTTAGTGGAGTTATACTGAGTTAACAGGATTCCCAGACAGTAAAATGAGCATCATCAGCACTGGCAGCTCCCTGTCAGCCTGCCCAACAGCGTGCCGAGGGCCAGGCAGCCATGGACACACACAGGTTTGGGGCAGCATTGCCCCTCACCAGCCCCAAGCACTCCCTGGGAGTCCTGCATGGGGCTGAGGAAACATGTCCTTGGCCAGGCGCTGCGACAGCATGCCAGTCAGGCCCCCACTCTGCCATCACAGAGGGCCTGATCCTGCTGGAGCCGCACTCTGCTGCTGCGCATGGTGCCATTGGGGCACCGACCCTTCCCTTCCTCCCCTGCTCCCTCACCAGGGCCTCCTGCCCGCACCTACAGCCTGCAGCGGCCTTGGAGCAGCGTCAGCTGCCAGAGGTTTAGCAAACCACCCTGCCCAGATGGACACCATGTCCCATGCTGTTCGGGACAGTGGGTTTAGAACCAGGTGAGTTGAGTGCAGCAAGAACAGGTGACAGCCCTGCTGAGGCTCCCAACGCTCAGCAGCCTTCGCACGTTGCCCAGGCATGGATTGTTTTAAAGACAGTATCAAGCTCCAAAGCTCCAGTAACAGCCAGCCAGCCCTGAGTGGGCCAGGGCTGCTCCTTACAGATGGGAAAACCAAGGCACGAGGAAAGCACCAGGACTGGCAGCTCCCTGCTAAGATCCGGCCACGCCAGGCTGCACGGTGCTGTTGCAGGACTGCAGACCCGCTGCGGCCGGCCCTGGGAGGGGCCACAGGGAAGGTCGTACAGGCTCAGGGTGCTCGGGCAGCGTGGCTGTGTTGGCACCCCAGCCCTCAGCACAGTTCTGCCAGCCCTGCCCCCGCACAGGTGAGCCCCAGGAGCCAAGGGGCACTTTGGCCCCTGCCATCTAAGCTCCAGTATCACACCACAGCCCAGCACTGCTGCCCACTCAGGGGGGCTTTGCCAGCGCCCTGCCAAACCCCACACCCCCAGCCAGCCCCCCAGCATCGCTTTGGGAATCAGCCTGAACTGCCCAGGGGAGGCCAGCCAGCACACACAGGCCACGGGGCGCCCCGTTGTCCCCCAGCCCAAGGAGGGGGAGTGCGCCAGGTACTCCCAGGGGCAGGCGGGACACCCGGGAAGGGGCAGCGAGGGAGGGCTGGAGCCCGGTGACAAGCCTGGATCAGCTCTGCAGCAATCCCAAGCCCTGGGAATACGGGATAACTGCCTGGCTCTGGGCTGCAGCTTTGCACAAGAAAAAACAAAGCGATGAGGTTTTCCAGTCCGTAAAGTGGCTTCCCGCCGTTGAGAAGCCTCTGCGCTTCAGCCGCTCAAGGGGCAGTGGGAGGACTCTGGCACTGAAACAAGGAGCAATTATCAAACCACGGGCTCTGAAGAGCTTTTGTTTCCTGGATGCACCAGAGCAGGGATCGGAGGACACCTAGCGAGATGGCTCGCTGGCCCCATGCGGCACCCAGAGCCCAGTGCTGCTGTGGCCCTGGTCCTGCACTGGTCCCATCCTGCTCCCCTCCTCCTGCTGTGGCACATCCCACGAGGGGAGCCCCAGCGGGGCCGCAAGGGCTGGTCCAGCCCTGGGCGAGATGTACAGCTGGGAAGAATCGGCTCCTCGCTTCCCACTGCCTTGTTAGCAAGAGCTTCCATGCCTCCCCGGCAGGCCACACGTGCTGCCAGGGCAGATTACCTCCAGCAGCACGAGGCCCAGCAGTGCTCACGGCTGTGCGACTCTGGCAAAACCAGGGCTTAAAGCTGGGGCTCAGAGACACTGACTGGGATGCAGGTACCCCTTACTGCTCTCTGGGTCCTTGCTGACACCAGCATTGCCCCTTCCCAGAGGTTCTCCTCTCACCCCCCAGTCAAGCTGATTTACTGGTGCAAACAGGGCGATGTCCAGTGACTGTGACTTATTCTCATGGCTGAACTTGTTCGGAGACCACAGTCTTTGAGTGCAAATATCTGGATGGGCACAGGTACCCCAGGCAGAGACGTGCCAGGCCCAGCCCCTCAGAGATCCCCACGAGCAGGCAGAGTGGCAGCGAACAGCCCAGCCATACCCCACGCTCTGCATCGCCCTCTCGCCAGCGCCAGATCCAGC